TTAATGCTCGCAATGTTCTTTGCGGTCCTCAGATACTACTGGAGACATGAATATTACTGTTGCTATCAGTGTTTTACAAGGCAGTCAAAGAGCCCCTCCAGGTTCTCCTGCTCAACCCTAAGCAGATATATGTGATGTGCATTTACACACCCCAAGGCCTGTTCTTGTTGTGGGTTTCAGATGTCCTCCTGAGGCTCTGCAACATGAATATTAGATCCGTCATGTCTTTGCTTCGGATGTTCCAGGAAGGATTTTCCAAAGTGGTCTAAGACAGCTGCAGCTGGAGCCAGTGGCAAACCTCTTCCAGGGGGCTTTAAACACACCTGGCCACCTCCTGCAGGGCTATGGCTCTTCTGTACCATGTCCCACAAAAACATATGCTGTATTTGATCCACTTTCCAGAAGGGAGCAGCAGAAGGATTCTGCGTGAGAGGACGAAAAAGGAAGAACATCAGTAGGTTGAGTCAGGAAAGATGCAGAGTCAAATCCTTCTGCAGTGGTGTTGACGCAGAACAAACTGAGGCCCATTTCATTCTTGTCTTTCAAGCCAAGGGTGAAAGAAGCTATTCCAAGGACTCAGATCTGCAGCTGCCCATCCTGAGTATCACAGACTCACCATGCTTAGAGTAGTGGAAGCTGTTCTACAGGACCCGCGTATTTCATTCTAGTTGCTCCAAATACCCCATAAACAGCACAGAACTGATTTGCTTCATTTTTCCCTTTCTTCTCTCCTGGCAGGGAACCACCAACCAGACCTGCATCTTGTGGGATGAGAATGATGGGTGAGTTCTGTGGATTTCTCTTTACTCTCATGGGTCCATTTGCTTTTTGGGGTGAAATCGTCACAAATTTAGCAGTGATGTGTAAGTTTGTCGCACCCACTTGCTCTCTCTACTTAGTTTTTTCTTACGTCCACCTTCACGGCTGCCAAAAGTCCTTCGCCCTGGTAGGGAGTGCTCCTTCCTTCACACAGATGCATCCCTTCTTACTGTGTTGTCTTTTAGTGCCAGTTGAACTGGGTCTAATATTTAAAGATTTGCAATTAGGTGTTGTCAGTATAGCCTGTGAAGGGCCGTGTGTGCCAGGAGCATCATGTATCTGTACCAGGGAAACATCTCTCAGTGTCCGAGCAGGGATGTTCATGTGTAACTCTGCTCACAGGGAGGAGTGATTGCATTTTCCTTTGATGCTTTGGACCCCATCCTACGTTTTGCAAAAACGGCCTCTTATTTTGACTCATCCACTTTTGGATTTTCCCACATGAGGAATACGTGAACTGAGACCCAGGACTGTGGAGTCATTCGCAGATTGCCCTAAATTGAGCTTGACATAGCAGTGCTTGGCGCTCTTCAGTGCTCACCCCAAATTGTTCACCATAAGGAGAGTAATGCAAAATCAGAGTCCCCTGTTGCAAATACAGGCTGCAGTGGTGAAGTAGGTGTTGGGCTGCTGTGATACAGTAAGATGATTTCTGCCAGGATTCCTGCAGAAATCCTGGTGCTGTTCAGGAGGTGCTGTTGAGTGATGTGATTGTGGTCAGCAGGGAAAAAAGAAATCCAAAGTTACCACAAAGAGTCAGGACCATATGGGAAGTAGCTGTCAGAGAATGTGTAGCTTTAAAAAAAAAAAAAAAAAAAAAAAAAAAAACACTCTGAAAGTGTGGTCCTAAATCCTGAGTGAGCTTGACAAGGATACAAAGTTTTTGATTTAGTGGTGGTTTTACTTCATTGGCTTTTGTATCTCTGTTTGAAGACCAACCCGACTTCTTTTCTGCTTACAGTCAGTTTCTCTCCTTGAGATCTCATGCATTTGGCACATACCTCTGCATTTATTATTATTATTTATTATTATTATCTGCAGCGTCTGAAAAATGATTCTATTCTTCTCCTTTTATGCTCCATTAAGTAGCATATACACACATAGGCGGGCAACATATTTGCAGTCAGCTTACCATTCTTGTTGGTCTGTGATTAATTTGGCATGTATGAGTGGATCCAAAGCAAAGCTGAAGAACCCAGAGGGACTCCCTGCTTGTGAAATCACACCCACGTTGTGGCCTAGGGCAGAAATAGTCCCTCTGGGTTGCAGTGAAAATTGCTCCAGCATTAGAAGACGGTTGGGATGCAGGAGCAAGGTCAGCCCTTGTGTGCTATGCTGACCTCACACATCAGGATGCAGGTGAACCTTCATGAAATTACTGAAATGGGATTTTTTTTATATTACTGAGTCTGTAGTCAGCCCAAAGCAGAGGGTTGGCTATAGGTGAGCAGACTCGGGAGGAGGCTTGGATAGGAACTGGCCTGCTCTGCTAGATCTGTTGTCTCTCCATGCTGGAATGGGATTAAAGCGCTTGTATACAAATCCGGTTTTTGGCAAGTGAAGGCAGAAGTTGGAACCAATGCCCCTTCTGGTCTGCACACCATCTCGTTGTTCTTGGCTTTCTAGGTTCTCGAGGGAGGGTTATGTCCAGAAGGATGGAGGTGTTTCCCTGCTATGCTCAGAGCTGCTTTGGATTAACTGTAGTCTGAGCAAGAAAAGAGCAAAATCCAGTTTGCACATGGTTGGATCTGAGGGAGCGTGGTGGCGTTCGGGCTGGGTACATATCTGTTGGAGCTGGCACTGAAAGGTGCCATGTACGAGAAAGATGAAGGGTTGCCCACTACTGAACGTGGCTTGAGAAGCTTGAATGCCATCGTTGATCTGGAGACAAAACAGTGCCCAGTTCAGTGTCGTCACCTCTGCCTTGTCCTGGGAGGTCTGGCTGCTCCATACACTTGCTCCTAAGGCTTGGCAACTTGTTCGGCTGCCTGTCATCTCTCTGAGAACATGGGGTGTTAGGAATGCTTTCAGTCTTTAATCCTTGCAACTTCACGGCATCAAAAGATGGGCTTGTAACTAAGAGTTGAGCAGACAATTTCTTGGCACCGACGCTGTCATTCAGTTGTCAAGGATGGTTTCCAAAACCCCAGCAGATTGGTTGCGCAAGTGTTGCCGCTAAGACTCCGCTGTCGGTGCATGTTCGGGGGGGGTGCCTGTCTGCAAGTGTTTTCAACGTAATCTCAAGTGGTTGAAAAGTCCAAAATGCTGATCTCAGCAGATTTTGCTAGGGGATGTTCCAAAGCTAGATCCGATCCGGTCAGCTCTGGCGATGGGAGCTGCAAAGCTGTTTGGGCTACATTTTAAAGCTGATTTTCTACCGCTGTCACCTCCTGGGAAAGTCTAATGAAAGGCAAACTGTGCAAACCCTATTCTCCAGGCCTGAATGCTCACCTCAAACTTGAACGGCACTCTGGAGTTGTTGAGGGGTTTGCATCACAGTTTTGGATAACTGTTTCCTGTTTGGAGTAAGGATTTTTAGGTTACACCCTGGACCTGTTTGTTGCCTGGTACGTGGTAGAGATCATGACCGGTAACTCTGAGCCAGGACACCCTGAGGTTCAGCCACATTTATGTGGGTGCCTCTCTTTGCTCCCACCTTCTCCTTCCTGCCACCCCCCTCTTTAAATTGGAGGTTTTCCCACTGATCAGTCTTGTAAGACAGTTGTGCAAGTGAGTGAATCTCAGGAAATCCCATTTCCCAGCTCTGACCAATTTAACGGCTTTACAGCTTCATTTCTCTGTTTGTAATTCACTCTGCCATATTCCCTGTACAGCCCAAGCCAGCCTGCCACGGTGTTGCTTGCTCAGAAGACACTGCTATCTCTTAAGCTTGCTCTTTTGCAGGCTCTCCATGATCCTGCTCCAAGGCCGGCTGGCCAAGGGGACCTTCCCTATGTTCACAGTCATCCATCTGAGGCTGCGGATCTTGGGGATCCAAACTCCACCTGATTCCAGTGAACCAGCCTCTGGATTTAACCCCTTGCAGCTGATGTGACTGAACAGGTACAGAGGCAGGAAACTGGAAGCAATCCTCACAGGAGAGCTCCTACCTGTTAGGGCAGCCACCTGAGCTTTCAATCCCATACAAAACATGCCACAACCCTTTAAAGGCCACTTAAAATCCATGGGCCGTGAAGGGTTGAACTGTAAAATTGCAATTAGAACAGACAATTATCACGTGGCCGTGTGCTTCCTCCGAGAGAGAGTTGTTGAACAGAGCAGTTAAAAAAAAAAAAATAAAAAGAGGAAGAACCCCTGAGTGTTCAGTCATTTGCATTTAGATAGATATTTAAGCTTGTAATATTAATAATGGATTTTTGATTTATTAATCCTAGCCCCTTTGAGTGACTGTTAGATTCGTGGGTGGCACCTCTCCATCTCTTTTCTCTTCCTCTTGCCCCCAACTCCTCATGCCATGAAATAAGAGGGGAGAAGATCAGGGACTAATTTCTGTTGTGTTGGGTCCTGCAAGTTTGATTAATGAGCTTAGCACTAGCTGGGTAAATTGAAAGTTGAAATCAGAGAATGATTTGGGATTCTCTGGCTCTTCTCCAAGGGTATTCATCTGGAGTAATTATTAGCTGCTTAGCCTTGCTGAAGTTAAAGCCCAGGCAGGATCTGGTCTCCTGCTCCCTCTTTCTCCTGCTGGGACAGGACAGAGGAATTTGATGGATGAAGTCATCTTATGTGCTTTCCTGTTCTTATGCATCACCAGATTTGTATTTCTTGGCTGCCTTGCTCTGGTGCACAACAGGGATGCCATGTGGCAAGGGGAACGGGGAGACAGTTGCCAAAGTTTGTTGTTAGAGTTGGCAGCATAGCTTCATGGCTGCCGCAGAAGATGCAGGGCTAGTTAGTGTTACAGAGCAGTCCCGCTACCCCAGGGGACTGACGAGTCTGTGTACTCAGACCTCCAAAGCTGGGGTTTGGCGTTCTTTGAGCGTGGGATCAGGTAAAATGATGGGGATAGTCGCAAGCCGTCAAGTGTCTGCAGAGAGACCATGAGATTAAACTGACTATCTGCTGCCGTAGATAGACCCACAGCCACAGGTGAATGCTAATTCTTCCCTCCAGCGTGCCCTGCCTTGGTGACAGCAGGGACCAAGCCAGCCAGATGGGTCTTGTATTTTAGCTTATGGTGCAAGAGAGAGCAGTGTGCCATGCCAGTGTGAAATCCAGTCCCGTACCCGCAGAGGCTGGGATCCGGCAGGTCTGCATTGCCAGGGGACCTCTCATCCCACAGGGAATGCTTTCTCTTAGAGGAGCTGTCTGGCTCCAGCCACCAACATTTCTCTGCTTCTCTGTCTCCAAGACAAGCATAATAATAGCTAGGCATTATAAGAACTGATCTTGAAAGGCCTTCCAAACCTTCCCAAATATTTGCATAAAAGGCTTTTTGCTCTTGGAAGAGAAAGTGCCTCAGGAGTCTGTGGTTTTGATTCAAGGACACTCTTACCTTCCCTCGGGAAAGATCATCTGTTCCAGTAATTAAAGCCTTTAACCTATCTAACTTAGGAAATGCAGACCTCACTGTTTAGGAAGGTGCCCTGTGCACAGCGAGGTTAGGCATGGAGAAGACGACGAACAGCGCAGCAGCTTGCGGGGCAAGGTTAAATCACATCCTCCTGGCTCTGGGCTGGATCTGATGCCCAGCCGAGGTCAGGCAGAAATCTGCCCCGAGGGTTTGCAACTGCACAGAGCGGTGTTTTATGATGCTGCCAAACAAAGTAGACTATCAGTCTGTCCCCACTTGGAAACTTACAGGATCCTAAAATATAGCTCACAGATGCTGAGGGCAGGCCTGCTCATGGGCTCTTTTCAGACAGGAACCACTTGAGGTGTAGGGTGTATATTGGTCCTTCAAGGGGATGGTTCTAGAGCTGTGTGGACCAAGGGCTGGCAGGACTGGAGGTGATCACACAGAATTGCAGTTCACAGGGAGAGCTCTGCAGTGTCATAGAAAGTTTGTGGAGGTGTTTTTGTTTGTTTGTTTTGTCTGGAACACCTCAGAGGAGCCCCAAAAACATCCTAGAAGGAGATATTTCCTGGCAGGCACCATAATTTTTCCATAGGGTAACATCCCATGAGTCTTGCAGTGCAGCTGAAGATCGCATTGCCTGAAATTCTTATTTTCAGGGTGGGCTGTCCACTGTCTAATCTACAGAGTCCCAAGCTGCCTGAATTCCTGACTGCATGTCCTACATGATTACAGGAAAGGCGTGCACTGATGCATGGTGCAAGGCAGAGTGAGGAGCAGGACACAGCGTAGGCTCCATGGGCTTCACCCTACTTTTTGAAAGCTTCTGATGCACTGGATAAAAAGAAAGGCAGGAAGTTTTCTGTGTTTTCTGGGACTTTAATGTGATCTCAGTCTTGGTGGTTACTCACTGGTTTCCTTTGGAGGGCATGTACAATAGGTCCATTTCTTCTACTACTCCCCGCCACCAGAAAAACGTCACAGAGGAGGGGTTGTATCTATAGCATCCCATGGACACTGCTCATAACATCAGTTGATCCATCTCCCAATGCCTGTCTTTTGAAGAAAAGTTTTCTAAAGCCGGGAAACAGCTTCCCTTTTCTTCTGTCCATCACCTAGTGCATTAATGGCCCTGCCAGAGCTGTAGATCAAGGGGTGACGCAGCTTGCCTATGCTGACAAAGATGGGTGAATCCACCCAGATACAGACAGGGAGGGAACCTGTTGCAGCCCCAAAGCCCTGTGAGAAATCAGTGCCCTTCTCTCCTCTTTGGACCTACGCATGACATATTGTATATTATATATTTTCTACTGCAACACCCCAGCTGGCTGTGGGGGAGCAACATTGCCAGTGACATGCCCTTCATGTGATCCCATGCAGGGTGTTTGTGCTGGGGTTTGCCACTACCCCTGCTCCAGGTCCATCACCCTTAACTAGCGTCTTTGTTCTTAACTCCGCCTGCAAATGCTGCCTTTCCTGAGTGCTCCTGTGGAGGTCTTGAGGGGATGTTGTGAAAGAAGGCAGTGTTGTGCTTGCAAAGCCTGTCTACACAGGGGCATGCAAGCAGGTTAATCTGAATATTCCCATTAGTTCCCCTGTGTTAAATCCAGTTAAAAGTACCCCCTAATTCAGCCTGTCTGACTGCACTTGCGGTGTGCAACCGGGCAGATTGAATTATGGCCCCAGGAGCCCCTTTTTAGCCCTGGATGAGAGTAGACAAAACAGGGTTAATGCAGTGAAACCCAGTCACACCTCTAGAGCCTGAGGATTTAGCTTCCCTGCTCAACCTGGGCTCTGGGGCTGCTGGAGGCACCAAGCAGAAGTGCTTCAGGGGACTGTTTTTCCAGGAATCTGCCTTACCCCGAGGCCACCTTTTCCTGGAAACAACTTGTCACCTGGACTTCTAGGTGCTGCAGGAAGGAGGTGGTCCAGTTCCCGGTTAGCACAAAGCCACGAGCACAAGGTACCAGCGGACCACAGGGCTGTGCCTATCCCCATTTGGGAGAGGAGTCACACTTCTTTGGCCTTTGCTGAGCTACTGCCCAGCAGTCAGCATTGTCTGTGGGACTGGCAAAGCAGGAGCTGGCTTATTCTCCAGCGCCTTTCACAGCACAGGATGCAGGAGAAGCTGAGCAGTACGATACAGGGCTTCTGCTGCCTGCCAACAGAGCATGGTTTAATGGCTTTCAACAGAAGGGAAAGGGGGAGAGGAGAGAGGATTCAGAGGCTCTGAATCAAATGCTCCAGCTTTTCCCTTGCTTCCCTAGTAAAGGGTCAGGAATATAGATGGAATACATTAATTCCCTTTACAGAACTGGCAGAAGCCAGACACTGAGACCTGGAGGATGTTCCAGCTGGGAAGGATCTTTGGATGCAGTGGTGTGATTCCCAACCTCAGCTCGGTGCTGAGCGTGCGTTGTGAGCCAGAGCACCATAGGGTTCAGGATGGCTTGTATGTCCACATGAGTGCGCGTCCTACGTACTCATATAAAGGCACATGTGCAAAACATGTGCAAGGATATAAAAAGGTGAACGTGTGGGAACAAGTGAGTGCTGTTGCCTGAGTGTGAGTACGGACACATGCGAGTGTGTTTCTGTGCACAACAAGGGCTGCAGGGTGTTGTTGGTGTGTTGGTGTGAACGTAAGCGCACACGAGGTATGCAGGTATCTGCAAGTACCAGGCAGTATTTGCATACGTGTGTGTGGAAAACACAAAAGTACATGTGCGTGTGTACAAATGTACGCAGGTACTCAGATAAGGCTGTTAACCCAAGCCATCCTTCACTTGTGCAATGAGTCTCCAGCTACACGTGCATGATATATGTTTAAATGCATGCAGGAGCTATAGAGTGTTTGTGTGTGTGCATGCAGGGGGATGTGCACACACAAACCTCTGCACAGCGTGCTGTGCATGCCAGACTGGGGTTGCGTGTTTTGCCTGCATCCCTGCCTGCTCTCTTTATTTACAGCTGTTTGCTCTGAAGCCACGATGCTCACGTGTTCCCTTTGCGGATGGGAGGGGATAAGTTTCACAGTCGCGTGCCCTTCTGTGGCCATCTGCCATAGAAGTGCCAGGCTGCTGAGGGCTTTCGGTGGCACGTGGTGGAAGTCCAACTTGACTTCCCAGGTTGCATGAAGGGACTCCAGGCCCACTCCCTGCTGCATTTCTGCTGCATTTCACTTGGTGCTTGTCTGTGTGGTACCTTGTATGTTCTGAGAATGTAATAACACAGTACAAGCATCTGTACGTGCTGGTAGAGAGCTCTCATTCACAGCTCCAGGCCTTTAAGTGCAGGGGAAAAAAAGGAGGCTGGGGAAACTTGAAGCCTCCCCTTGGTGTTCTTTAACTCCAATGACTCAATAGCCAAAAGGCTGCAGCTTTGAAGCAACTTCAAGGCAGGCTCAGGTGCATGGAGGAGAGACAAACATCTGCACTACCGGGATGCTCAGCACCCTCTGTGTGTAAAATTCAGAGCAGAGTCACTGTACCTCCATGTACTTCTTTGCTGGATT